TATTCTCAATAATACTCTCAGTATATATAATATATTGTACTTTATATAATAGACTGACTAAACAAATGTAATAAATATGGGCTTTAAAAGTCTCATTCAATGTGTTTTTTTTCATTCAATTGTATGCTTATATTATAGTAGATGAATGTGTTGACACACACACATACACACACGCTAAACACATTGATTTTTTTTGTGTGTGTATGCATACATAATATATATATATATATATTGTATATATGTTTAAATAAAATTCACTAAAAATATTTGTGTCATTTTTAAATGTGTTAGACATTTGTTAACAAAATGTATAGTTTAAATACGTACACATAGTTTTTTGTTTAAATTATAGTAATATTATATATATATATATATATATATAAAATTAATATTCAATTCAAAATGTTTTCATTATATATATATATTTTATTAAAATATTTATTACATATTATTATTTGTCACATATATAATCAAAATTAATACTATCTTTTATTTTAAATTTATATACAGTAGTCATGTACTGTATATGTCAAGAGTCACTAAAATAATAGTTAAGTATATTTAATCTCAATTTGTATACTGAATATATACTGTATATAAAAAACAGAAAATAAATTTTCAGTTTTTTGTTGTTATTTTTATTATATTGTTGTTTGTGGGTATCACTTGTCGACTAGATTTTTAGTCACAAAAAAATAAGATAAAGATTTTTTGTTTTGTTTTTTTCCTATTATAATATATGTTGAAAAATAAAATCTTAATATTAATGCTTTTATTTATTATGTATATATATATATATATATCTTATTTCTTATTCATATATGTAATACAATCTACAATATTTTAGTTGTAAATAAATCTATTTTTCCTATTTTTTTTATTATTATTATTTCTGATACCTATCTATCTATATATTGAAATGCTATGTCATTTTGATATAATAAATAAAAAAAAAGTTTGTTTGAAAAGCCTATCTGTAAATTGTATAAAATAAATCCATACTAATAATATAGTGAATGATTTTGTATATTATTATTATTATTATAATATGTTTATAAAAATCATCAAATGTATAATATTTCAAATATTTTTTTTAAATAAATAAATCATAATTATAATAATAAAATTTATTATTCAGTTTTTTTAGTAACAAAAAATTTTAAACCAAAAGTATTAGATTTTTTTATAAAAATCAATTGAATTTTTTTTTGCAATGTAAACAACGATTACATAATTAATTATATTAAAACTATTTTCTAATTAAAAATATTTATAATTGTTAAATTATTTTTTTTTTAAAAATTGTTTATTTAATAAATATCAAATATATTTTAAAAATGCTAATAAAAAACTAATACATATTATAAAATTATTATTTTAATATTATAAATTTTTCAAATTTATTCAAATTTTCAATTTGCCAAAACAAGCAAAAAAACATGTATAACAATTTTTAACAGTAAAATTTAAAACTTTAAAAATAATATATACAGTCTAATAACTAAACATAATAAATATACTATATTTTTAGTATAACAACAAGTGTAAACAATGCAACACAAAAAAAATATTTATTTTGAAATAATAATATTTGCTATATTTTATAACAAAAAAAAAGTTTATACCATTTAAACCCGGAGGCTTTAATTATAAGTTTTGAAAAATAGTTTTCAAATGGCAAACAATATATATATATATATATATATATACAGTATAACGATAGTAACAAATAATAAAAGAAAATAGTATTTATTTTTTAGTTTTTTTATGTTAAATGCATAACACATTTACACTATTAGACTGTAGTATAAATTTAATTATATTAAAATAATATTTTTTTTTATAAAAATATTTTTAAAATTACTATTTTACAGTTTTTAATATACATACAGTATTTTTTAGAAAAAATATATTTTAGCTTAAAGTCGGTGTCTAATATTATTATACAGTTAGACAATATATATATATATATATATATATACAAAATATTTAAATTACAATACATTTAGACAAAAATTTAATATTTTTTATAAATAATAAGCCAATTTTAACTATGCTTTTTATTTTCAATGTATGATAGAATAAACATTAAAAAATATGTTTATATTATTAATAACAAGATTAGTATTCAATACATTTAAAAATAACAAAAAAATTATGCAATTCTTAACATTTTTTTTAAATAGCAAATATTATATAGATTTCACTGGTGTTTAACAGTTACTGTTTATACATATAAGTTAAGATAGAAAAAAATAATATAAAAAATATATTTTAAGGATAAATATTAATAATTTTTTTTCATTATAATAACTATTATTTTAGTCCAAATATTAATATATATAAAAAAAATATATTATTTATTAACTATTTATTTATATGAATTTGTAGTTTTATTTTTTACAAAATTAAAGTTTATCTGAAAAATGTTGTGTAAATATTAAAAATTATCGTTATATTTATAACATATCTATTGTCTAGAGTCTAGACAATAATAGTGATATGTGATTAAAAATTTTTATTTTTAAAATATTATAAAACTATTTAATTTTGTTGTTTAAGCGGTTTTCAAATTTTCAACCATTAAACATAAAATAGTGGTAATAATTAAATCTTTTGTGTAATTTATAATAAATAATTATAATATAAATGTTATCATTAGTATATTAATTTGCGGATAATTGTATATTTACATTAATATAAATGATATAAATAATATAAACAACTGTTAATTAAACTAAACAAATGTCAAATTAAATATATAAATAGTATTATTAACTAATATAGGTATATAATTTGTTTAAGTTATTTTAGTTTTATTTTAATTGTACATTTCTATTAGTATAATACTATAAATTAATGTGAAATTTTTAAATATTAATAATAAATATTTTTATACTAAAATAAATAAATATATCATATAAATATTTGACTTAAAATAAATTGTAAATATATTACATAAACAAAATTTTAAAGTTTAAATTTAAATATTCATTTCTATTTAATTTTTAATAATAATAATAATAATATATACTCTATATTAATATAAAACGAAAATAGATATAAATATATACTTATTGATATTATTATTATTATTTTAAATATATTATATTTAAATAAATAAGATAGATAAACCCATGTGAGGAAAACTAGTATAAAAGCATATATTATAACTGATATCCCGGTGCTATTTAAAGTAATATATTTAAATAAAAATAAATTTTGTAAATCATCTTTTTTTTGCTTAATGTATTTGTCATCAAAATTTAAGTAATAACCCTTAAAAATAGTAACATTTTTTTCAGATAGTATTAATCTTATTACTTACACTCACTAATTCAATCTCTTACCCGCTCACACACACACACAACACTACAAATACAAAGTCTATATATATATATATATATATTAATATTAGTATTCACTCATTGACTATCATTTTAAATTAGTTGAAAATTAAAAACATTGCATTCAAATTACAAGAATATTCTGTATATTAAATTTATATATATATATATATATATATATATATATTTGGTGTATATTATTATGCATTTTAAAAAGGACAGCACTATTGGGAAATGGTCTCAAACTGTATATAATATATTGATATGTACAGTACATTACACTACATGTGCTTATCTATATATACTGTATATATATATCTCTATGTTTTATTGGACTATAAGATCTCTTAGCATAAAATTGTTAGAATTTAAGGCTAAATCAATGCAAAATTAGTAGTAGTAGTCATTTAAATCAATGGGGGATTAAAATTCAGTATAAATAAAAATTTATTATATATATCATACATTAATTTCAAATTCAACCCGGTAGTTATTGATGGTTAGTATCTCAAAAATATAATATTACTATAAATGATATAAAATGCTATAATAGAGAGAGAGAGAGAGAGAGAGAGAGAGAGAGAGAGAGAGAGAGAGAGACTCAACAAAAATTTAGTTATAAAATTATCGTATAATTATTATTAATAGTTTTGAAATTATATAAAATTATGTAAAAATCAAAATTTTAAATATATTATATTTTTATATTAAATACAATTATGAATTTTATATTATTAAGCGTTAGATAAGTTTTATTTGAATTGAATTGCATTTTTGGCTAATATTTTAACTTAATATTTATTATAACTTTTAGTTAATTCAATTATTATTTATCTATAATAACTTGAATATTTTAAATGATAAATAAAAAAATATCAAAATGTAATAAAAAAATACATTTATTTTTTATTGTATATAAATAATAATAATAATAATAATCAATATAAAGTATATTTATTTATTTTATTATTGATAGTTTTTTATATAAATTGCTATGTATTTATTCAATAACATTACAAACAAATAAATATAACTTGAACAAATAACAAACATAAAGATAATTTATTATTAACTCAATGTGTATGTGTATGTGTATGTGTATGTGTATGTGTATGTGTATGTGTATGTGTATGTGTATGTGCATGTGTATGTGTATGTGTATGTGTATGTGTATGTGTATGTGTATGTGTATGTGTATGTGTATGTGTATGTGTATGTGTATGTGTATGTGTATGTGTATGTGTATGTGTATGTGTATGTGTATGTGTATGTGTATGTGTATGTGTATGTGTATGTGTATGTGTATGTGTATGTGTATGTGTATGTGTATGTGTATGTGTATGTGTATGTGTATGTGTATGTGTATGTGTATGTGTATGTGTATGTGTATGTGTATGTGTATGTGTATGTGTATGTGTATGTGTATGTGTATGTGTATGTGTATGTGTATGTGTATGTGTATGTGTATGTGTATGTGTATGTGTATGTGTATGTGTATGTGTATGTGTATGTGTATGTGTATGTGTATGTGTATGTGTATGTGTATGTGTATGTGTATGTGTATGTGTATGTGTATGTGTATGTGTATGTGTATGTGTATGTGTATGTGTATGTGTTGTATAATTTATAAATAAAAATCATTGATTGACTCACCATCTGTATAGACTACTGATATGTAGGTCCAGTTGTAATGTTTGATTAGGTCGACCATCACTCGGGCCTGTAATAGATCGCTGGGAACGACACGTAAAAAGTATTTATAGTATGACTTATCGCTGAGATCGCGACTGGTGGCGGAGTAACCGATTTGCGGTATATTAAATAATTGCAACAAATTTTGCACCTATAGATTAAATTATTATAAATTTTTAATAATAATAATAATATAATTTTTATCAAATAATTAATATATAAAAATAATTTTGACTAATCATCTAATTAATTAACGTAATTATTAATTATCAAATTAAAAAACATTTATTATTATTATTGCTATTAGTTTTGTGTGTTTTTGTTTGATTAAAATTTTTAAAAAAATCTATTTTCTATTAGAAAATGTTTTTTTTTCTCTTATAAATTACATTATCTAAATAATTACAAGTAATGAATATTAATTTTTATCTTTTTAAAAAAAAATAGTTAATAAATTTTCAAACATTTACTACTAATAATTTTATTTGTTTTTTTTCATATAAATTAGTTTATAATTTAATTCCGGTTAAATTAATCATATATATGTATTATATTCATAATTGATATATAATACATGTACATAATGTGTAATTTATGTAATTGTTTTGTTGTTGTTGTTGTTGTAATAAATAATTATTTATTATCTAAACTATAAAACTCACGTTTATTTTTTTTTTGTTATACAAATAAATTTAGTGAAAATAATTTTCTTTTCTAAAAACAATTTATAAAAATTATATTTATACAGTAAATATATATATAACTTATATAACTATATGGTATTTAATAGGTATTAATGAATTGAAAGCTTGAATTTCATTAATCAAATACAGTGTATAATATATGATTATTTTTTGTTTGTTTCTTATTATTATAAAATTACTGTATAATAGAGTATAGATTACTAGTAAAATATTTATATATTAAATATAAGGTTTGAATTTTGTTGTTGTATATATATATATACAGTATATTAAAATAGTAGAGAATATTTTATTCAATTATAAAGTATAATATTGTTTTGTTATAATAATAGATATAATCTTAATTTTTTACATAATATACTGGATATGTTTAATATTTAAAAAATACAATAAATATTTAATAAGTTTTCTCAGTTATAGTATAATTAGTGTAATTATTATTTTATTGTTTTTTAAAAATCTATAGTAAATATATATATATATTATGAGTGTATTAATATATAGTATGTCTATGAATTTATTATTCTAACCATAAAATTTTTTATTTTAATTATATACACTATTATATATACTAGGTTAATTAGGTGGATCTAAATTATTATTATTGATAAAATAAACTAAATAAATGATACTTAATTAAAATAGATAATTGAGTTATGATATTGTATATATATACCACACTATTATGGATAGGGGACAGACAGACACACACATTAATCTGGACACTAACCTGAATGGTTACGGTACTGGATGCCGGACCAATGACACCGACAATATTTTTGACACGTTTGGCCAGTGCTGGGCGCGGACAGGTAGTACTGGTATTGAGCGTCGGAAACAGTAGTGGGACACTGAACGGCGTAAACGGCGACCGTTTGCTAACCGACTGCTGCAGCTGCGGCTGGTGTATCGGTCCGCCGATCACCGACGACGACGACGACCGATGAGCCGAAATTGCCGGTGCGTTTGCCGGCGCCGCCGCCGCCAACAACGACAATGTGGACATTGCGGCCGCTTTTTCATCGCTGGCCGCCATAGCGTCCCGTATGAATTCAATACTTTGTTCCAATGCAATGGCCGAATACCAACAGGAATCCCGTATTTCGATACCCAGAGTAATATTAGGTAATATTGATTCATCTTTGTTGATACTGTCGATGGTCTGGAAGGCTGCCTCAACCCGATGTATGCCATACTGTTCCCTGACTTCGCCGCACGTACGCGACTGTGCTTGTTTAGGGCCGGGTGTGTGATGGACAGGGAATAGGGCACCGATTACCAGATCGCCGGGAATGGTAGCCACACTCTGGATTATCCATTGAATATTATAAGCAATGTGCGATAATAATTGTTGATTTAAAAATGATAATAAAATAATATTAGTTGTTTGAAATAATAATTATTTTTTATATATCTTATATTTATTTTATTTTATTTTTATTTTGTGGTTATATTATAATACTTATTATTGTTTATATATTATTCTAATGTTATAATTCAAAACGAAATAAATGTTATTATATGATAATATTAATAATAATAATAATAATAATGCTTATGTGATAACCAATAATACATGTATTATACAATTATATTTTAGTAGTAGTAATGTTTAGTCGCATATTGCTTATATTAATAGCAATGATTTAATAATAATATTTTTTTTTGAAATATATAAATGATAATTTTTTTTTCTATTAATATGTATAACAAATATAATTTTACAAACGGCACATGTGTTATGGGTTTTTTCATATATATATATATATATATATATATAATGTTTGGGCATAAAACTTAATGTAATAAAAACTAATGTATTTATAAACTATATATAATATATATCGTTAGATATGTATAATATATATGATGACAATAAGCAACAAACTAACCAAAAAAATGTATGCTATTTATTTAAACGTATAATTTACATACAATACTAACTATCTGTTATTATTATCGTTTAGTATTTTTTTTGGTTACATTTTTTTGTTGTTGTTTTTTTGTGATAGAAAGACATGCAAACATAATAGCAAAACTAATAAAGTAATTTCATATGAAATCTCATAAATGATATATTTTTATTTGTATCAGATTTGTATAAAATTATTGTATAAATATATTATATATTAATTATATACTGTATATATGAAAATATGTACAAATAAAACAAATAAATGATACAAATCTGTACTCAATATCTATATATTTATATAAACTTTTGCATTTAATTTATAAATTCATATATTATATATATATATGATATATCTATTGTTTATAGATATATTTTTCTATAGTATATAACTAAAGCACAAAATAAAATGATTTATTTTATGTAAATTTTGTAAAACATATCAATTTTTTTTGAATTTTATTTTTTCAAAACGCATCAAAATATTTTATATATATATATATATAGAATATTCCCGATTGAAATATTCTAGTTTAACGATAAATATATATATAGAGATCATATATAATATATAGTATATATATATATATTCAATTTATATAATATTGAAACTATGTAATAAGTAAATTTGATAAATATCAGCATATTTTTGATTTAATATTATCTATATTTTTGTAGTTTGTTTTATTTTTTTATTTTATTTTTCGGTAATATTTGTCGTTTTTGCAAATAATATTATGTAATATTTTTGTTTAGCATATATTTTTAAAAAAAAATTATTTTTTCATAATTTATTTCTAATGCATAAATGCTGTTTTTTATAGATAATCTTTTTCAAAAAAAAAAATATTTTAATACATTATATTTAATATAGATATTTTAAAAATATTATTTTGATAAAAAAATTTCTTCTATATTGTTTTAATTAATTAATATTTTTTAGTTTTATTTTTTTAAAATTATTATTATCATATATATCATATAACTATATTTAATGTACTAAAATGAAAAACTAATTGTTTAAAATAATAATTATTATTATTATAATATTATATTTGTAATTAATTAATCTATTGTTAAACCACACACACACACACACACACACACACACACATGTACGTACCTGTCGGGCATGTTGGCTACAGGTGCCTAATATGCAATCATATAAAATAATTACAATCACTAATAGTTTTATAATTGTCTGATGATTATTACGATGACAATTGTTGATGATTTGTGGACAACATTTCATGTATGATAATAACAATAATAACAGTACAGATAGGATACTACCGAAGCTCATTGTTTGTTAGTTTTTAGTTTTTTTGATTTTAATTTATTTAATTATATATATATATATATATGACTACTAAACACACATGTATTGGACACGACTGAACCACTCAGTGAACAACAACAACAAAAATCTAACGAAGCGGACAATCAATTGGCACAACAATTATAATAATAATAATAATAATAACAATATATTAATGATTGGGTATGTATTTGGTTGAGCAAACAATATATCATATCATATCATATATATTTATATTGATATCATCGTTGACTAATGCTTCTACTATTACTACTACTTCTATCATAACCATCACCACTGATAGGTAGTTCCCATTCACGGCTATTTAGTACTACTATTGGCATGAGTTTTGTTGACAGCACCGGTAGGTTATTATCCATAGACATGGAGGCGCGAAGATGAAGATTGTAATCATCGACACATTTTGAACAAAAATTTTTTTAGATAACAATTAATATAATTTTCATCGATATTGTTGTCCACAATGACGACCTTTAAATATATATAGAGAAAAATAATATATATTATATATTAATAAAATGTATTTATTTTTAAATTAATTACTTAAAAAATACATAATCATTTGTAAACATGAATATTATTGTTTATTTTAATAAACAATAAATCATATTACTGTATATTAAACATAATATATAATGGAAAAAAGTATTTTTAATATCTAATATATTAAATATTAATAAAAATAATAAACTTAGATCATAAATTTTATTATTGAGTTTTATTAGTAATTTTTTTAATAAAAAGCAATATACGATATATTAGTGTATATTATATTATAATTATATTTAATAGTATAGTAAATTTAATACTTGAGATTATATTAAGCTTTACTTAAAACGTTATATAATTATATATATTTGTTATTTATTAAATTATAATAGTTAATATAACATTATAAAAATATACTATACATTATGTATTATATATAGATTATTATACTATTAATATGTAAATTTATAGTCCTGATATAAATTTAACATAAATAATATATTACTAAAATTAAAATAATAAGATAACTAAAAAAATAAACATTTAAAATAAATTTTTTTAAGTTACACTTTATTATGCAATTTTAGTCACTCAGTAAAAATCAATTTTGTTATTATTTACTTATATATTAAATTCTTTATAACAAAAAAAAAATAAATAAATAAAAAACTCTTTAGTTTTTTCCGGAATATTTTTTGTATTAATTTTTTTCCGTCTAATTTATCAACTTTTTTCTCATTTATTCTCAAATCTCAATTATTTTTCTACTATTCAAACCTAAATTGAATTTAATAAATAGTGTGTGTGTGTGTGTGTGTGTGTGTTGTATGTGTGTATATATGTGTGTATATATGTGTATGTATGTGTGTGTATGTGTGTATGTGTGTGTGTATGTGTGTGTATGTGTGTTGTATGTTTTTATATATGTGTGTATATATGTGTAAGTATGTGTGTGTATGTATGTGTATGTATGTGTGTAAAAGCAAGAAATATGTCATACAATTGGACGCTTAGGTATTATTGTGTCATCTCATTGTAGTGTATGAGAGAGAGAGAGAGAGAAAAAAAAGAGAAATAATAGGCACAAAATAATGATAAAAATAATTAAAACTAAAATTTTCTATAAAAGACAACTCCAATTTATTAACTATTGTATTATTATTATTATTTTATTTTTTGAAAAATGTGCTAAAATATAAATGAACATATTATTTTTTTAAAAATTATAAAATAATAGTAGTAGTAATAGTTAGATAATTTTTTTTTTGAAAAATAATTAATTAATTAAAAATTAAAACCGTATTATTAGTTAAAATAGTAATTATATAACATTAGTAATGAAAAATAATTATTATTATAATATAGAAATATGAAAATAAAAACAAATTTTATTATTTATTATAAAGATAAAACATTTATATTTTGTTAACAAATTATATCAAGTATTACACTTACACTAAAATACCTAAATTTAAAAAAATACTTAACGGATCAGTAATTTATGTATCATTTACAATATAAATGCAACATTTTTCTATAATAAATATAATACATATATATATATTTTAATACAAAATTACTTAGAAAAGAAACAAAAAACAAAACTAAACAAATAATATTTTAAATAATAATAATAATAATAATACAAAACAATAATACTAAATTGAATTGTATGTACCGTTTATATAGTTTTATGCAAATAATGGTTTAGATTTTTTTTTTACAATTTAAGAATATTCTGCAATAATATTAAACAAAACAAAAATAATTTTAGTTTTCAAAAAATAAATAAATAGTATTATATATTAAATATATTCAGATATATTATATCTACGAGTTTTTCGATTTAATAAAAGATATTATGCGCGAAAAAAATTATAAGATATTAAATATTTAATATATTTATATTAATATATATATATATATATATATATATATATTAAAAAATAAAAAAAATAAAAAAAATAAAACATAAATAATTTTCTATAAGAATAAATTTAAGCATAAAATATATTTTTTTTTAATTTTCTACAAAAATTTTTAATAGTTTATTAGATATTAATATTTTACACTAATAAAAAAATTTTTCTAATTATTAATTAAATTTTAATATTAAATTTTTTAAAGGCATTATTATTATTATTATTGATAGTAGTAGTAGTACTTTAATATTATTAAAAAATAATTTGTTTTACTATATTATTATAAATTATCATTTATTTCAAGCAATAACTTTTATACAGTAGTTTTTTTTTATAGTTTATTGGGTAAGGCCTACAACTACAGTACAACAACAACAACAACAAAAAACTACTACCAGTTCACTAATGTTGTTGTTGTTGTTGTAAAAATTGAAAGCTATAGTGAATGCCAATCGCCAGACAATTAATTATTAGATGACATTGCAGTCCATATATAGTCAGTGAAAAAAAACAAAAAAAAAATAATAATAAATTAATGTCTATTTTGTTGTCTAATCTTTTATCTATCTATAAATTATGATTAATGCTATATTATCTTTGACTTCACTGTTATTTCAATCACTCACTCACTCACTCATTCAATCATATACTCATTCATTTAATAATAAAATAGATGATATAATAATATATTTTTTTTATTTGTAAAATAATATTATAATTACTTAATAAGTTTTCATGCAAATAATTTATTAATAATTGTTTAGCAGATTTAAAAATATATATATATTTATGTTTAATTGATAATTAATTTGCATATACATGATATAAAATTAACATTTTTTAAAAACTTATTTATTATATAAAATTTAAATTTTAAATATTGAGATATATTGTATAACTTTTTTTTGATATGCATTTAATAAGATGACATTTTCTATTGACTTTCTATCACTCACTCACTCACTCACTCACTCACTCACTCACTCACTCACTCACTCACTCACTCACTCACTCACTCACTCACTCACTCACTCACTCACTCACTCACTCACTCACTCACTCACTCACTCACTCACTCACTCACTCACTCACTCACTCACTCACTCACTCACTCACTCACTCACTCACTCACTCACTCACTCACTCACTCTTATTTGTTATAATTGAATAGTTTTGTCTTATATATTATTAAATTCATTAATTAATTAATATAATAAATTATTATAACATCTAAAATAATCAGTAGCTAATATTTTATTATAAATACAGTAGTATTAGATATAATATAAAATAAAATTATTGATAAATAATATAAAAATAATAATAATAATAATGCAATTTATTTAACAATATACAGTAAATATATTGTATGATATACAATATTAATTGTGTACATTTTTAACTTTGATAATATACAGTATATTATTGATCTATATATTTATATTATATATATATATATATATATATATACAGTAGTTTCGGTGCCTTTTAGCGGCAAATTATGATTAATAACCCATTAATTTCATTGTATTTTCGCTTTTTATTTATTTTTGTTTTGTTTGTTTTGATATAACTATTAAATCCTAAGAACTAATTCTTAAACTTATTATTTTTTTTTTGCTAAATATTTTTATTTTCGGAGAATTATGACAAAAAGTCCTTGAAATTCAGTAATAATTTATTACTAATAAAATTTTATTATTATTATTACAATATATATATTTACTAAAATATCAAATAAATTGTTTGTGAGATAAATTATATATATATACTCTATAAATCTTGTTAACAAATAAAGTTTTGTACTATAAATAATACAAATTTAGTTTTTAAGACATTTGTATTATCCGTTAGATTATTATTACTGTATTATTATTATTATCATTAAATCATCAAAAAAATAAAATAAACACAAATATTCAATTGAAAATATATGAAAGAATATATATTAACTTAAATCACAAGATTTCAAATACAATGAACAAAAAAAAATAATAAAAATTTTATGTTTTATTTATAAAAAAGATAAATAACTATGAAATTGTAGGCCAAAAATAGGTCCAATACTATGGAATAGATAATATATAAAATATGTTATATATTGATATAAAAAATTATAATCATATAAAAAAAATATTTTTAAGTTGATTTTTATTTGGACTATTAACTCGTAAGTATGTATTTTATGTATCTATTTGTGTGACAGTTAGTGAATGAGAGAGAGAGAGAGAGAGAGAGAGAGAGAGAGAGATACTATAATATATATCTATAATAAGTTAGTAAATGAATGAATGAAATAATAAGTGGGTGAGTGAGTGAGTGAGTGAGACAATGAGAGAGAGAGAGAGTGAGAGAAAGAAAGAAAGAGAGAGAAAATAGTAATTTTTGCTACAAATCTCTCTCTCTTTCTCTCTCAATGGGATTGAAAGTCGCTTTTATTTAAGTATAAAGAAAATCTCTTCAAATACTTAAAGATATAAAATGAAATAAAAATTTTAACAAAAATTTTTATCTTCTCTTCTATTATCTCTCCCTCTCTTTTATTCAATTTCTCTC